GGAGCAGGAACTGGGTCCTGAGGTCGAGAAAGGGAGCCAGGACAGAGCGGCATGAGGGCCGTGCCAAGGGGACGGCTTTCCGGTGACAACACTGCCTCGCATTTGAGGAGCGCTTTATACTTTTTTAACAGTGTTTTCTAGACGTTCCCCGTCCCTCTGAGACAGGCGGGTGGCATTTGCCTGACTCGGTGTCACTGAGGTGGCATGGCCAGCCAAGGTCAAACCGCAGGCGGGCCCCTGTACCGGCGCAGTGCCACACGCACACTGCCTACCTCGCCGTCTGGGACGTCTCCGGCCTCTCGGCCTGTCCCTTTCCTTCCTGCCTCCACGCCCAACGAGAAAGGAGGCAGGAGCCACAGGGGCCAACCTGGGCACTTGGCGGCTCAGAATGCCCCACGCTGTGCTCAGAAAGGCCCCTTCCACCAAGTCGTCCGCCACCTCCTTTCTCCAGCCCTCGTCCTGCACAACAGCGACCTGGGACCTGGCCCGGTCGGCAGCCCTGCCTGGGCACACCTCGTCCCGACAGTCCTGGCCTGTCCAGGGCTGCAGCGATGAGGGAGAGCGGCCATCGAGGTGCAGCCTCTGCCTGGGAGAGCAGGCCCGGGGGTGCTAGAGAGTCGGAGGCCCGGGGCTCTCCCGCCCGAGCCTCCCATTGGTGCTATCGGCTAGTTGACCGAGTTCGTGGGCAAGGACACAGACCTAATATGCCCCGGACCCGCAGGCGCTTTGGGAGGCGCCCAAAGGACTCCCGTGTGATGCACCTGCCCCGCAGCCGCAGTGCTGCGACCGAAGCCCTCAGTCTCCATTTCTAACTCCTGCATGGCCAGGCCCCGGGGTGGGGTGGCGTGCCCCAGAACCCGTTCGTGTCAAGAATGCCTTTCCCCGCTCCTCTCTGAAGTCCTGCTTCTCTTCCGGGAGCCTCGCAGCGCTGCTGCCGCCCGCCTCGTCCCTGTGCGCAGCTCCCCGACCCCTTCTTGCCATGCAAAGGGAATACTTGAGATTCAATAAAAGGCATCCAGATCGCAGAGTGCGTGTCACAGCGCAGGGGCTCCTGCGGGGCTTCCTCCAGCGACTGGGAGCCAGGTAACGGATACTTTATTTGGAGGGAGGCCTCCATTCTGTGGGGGTACCGGTAACTGAGAGGCTCTTTTTCAGGGTGGGGGGTGGGCTCCATACTGTGAATTGAAGAAGGCAAATCTTTTTTTTTTTTAAATTTTTATTGTGATTTAGGTGAAAGTTTACAAAGCAAATTCATTTTTCATACAACAGTTCATACACATTTTGTTTCATGACTTTGACTGCAATTCCCCACAATTAACATCTCTCTTCCCACTTTGAAGGAGGCAAATCTTAAAACAAGTTGAGAAGTTAAACACAAACAAGGTTCAACTGAGTTTTGTTAGAAGGGCCCCTCGTGCAGAGACTTGATAGGAAAAGCATTTGCGCCAAATACATTTTTACAACCTAGATCATGGGAAATAAACAAAAACAAAAAACCAAACTCACTGCCATCGAGTCGGAGCCGACTCATAGTGACCCCTTCTTGGGTTTCCCAGGCAGTATCACTACAGAAGTAGATTAGCCAGTCCTCCTGAGGAGTGGCTGGTGGATTTGAACTGCCAGCCTTCTGGTTAGCAATTAAGTGCCTTAGGCACTACAAATTTTACTATAGCATGAAGGAGCATGGAGGAAAAAGAGATCACTGTGAGATGGGGTTTAAAAGTATGAACGCATACATCTAGCTGGACCCCTTCATTTTACCCTCAAGGGGCTGGTTCCCAGAGAGTTTTTGTGACAGCTGGCGAAGCAGCCAAGACGCAGTCTGGTTTCCAGGCCCCAGTGTGGCAGATCCACTGCAGCAAGAACCCCACCGCCTCCAGCAGGCCCCAGACCCAACCCAGGTGGTGACATTCCACACGGCACCCTCTGCTCACTCCAGGCAGGAGGATCCTCAGCTTGGACCCTAGAGTTCACTGGCCCAAGCAGATCAGAGCTGTCATTTTCCTTCCAAATAATAAAAATAAATAACTATTATAATTGAAAAATTGGGAGCTCTGGTGGCGAAGTGCCTAACGCACATGACTGCTAGTCAGAAGGTTGGAGGTTTAAACCCACCACCCATTCCTTGGAAGGAAGATTGGGCAATCTATTTCTGTAGAAATACTGCCTTGGAAACCCAAGGAGGGGTCACTGTGAGTCGGAGACGACTCGATGGCACATAACAACAGCAATAATTGAAAAATTGATACACACAGATGGTGAAAACCAAACACTTTCCTGCCAGACGGCTGAGAAGCATCCACCGCTAAGAGCTTCCTGATTTACGTTCATTTGCCAGACATTTGTTTACTTCCTCACCTTGGAGTGTACTTTCTTTTCTGGGCTTGCTGCCCCTGTCGTCCTGGAGGGTCCCAATCGGGACATCGGACTGTACTGTCTGCACTGCTGCCAGTTTCCTGGTTCCAAGCAGGGCTCTGCAAAGGCTGCTGCTCAGAGCTAAAGGGGAACTGGAGTGGTGGCCCCTTCGGCTGCCTCATGGATGCTCATGGCCTCGGCCCCATCGTCACCTTTTGCCAATTTGTGTCTTAATGTACAGAAAAGCAAAGGTTAGGAATAGTGGGGGGCTGTGCCATTATCCCACACGCAGTACCCTCCTCCTAGGGAACCGAGGAGTGCAAGACCCAGTCCTTGCCCTGTAGGAGCCTGAAGTCTAATAGGTGGGATCATTTGAGTGTTCAGCCCATGTCTGGTCAGGATGGACACCACAGGGGTACAAATGATTGGTGAGGATGTGTTGTTAGTCTCCTAGGGCTGCCATAACAAGACACCATGAGAACAGAAATGTATTGTCTCCGTTCTGGAGACAGTTTGAATTCAGAGCATCAGAGTCCGTGCTCTCTCTGTCCACTCAAGAGGTGGGCAGGAAGTCATCTCTGAGCTGAGCAGTGCATGCAGCCAAGGAGCCAGTCATGTGAGAACAAGTCTGCTTCTCAGGGAGCCCTTCCTGCCTGTCACTCGAAGTGGAAGTTCATTGCCTCCCTCTATGGAGACTGCGTACTATGAATTAGGCGGGTCTGGTTATGGAGCCACGTTTTCCAAACCAAAGCTCCCAACATCTCACTGGGAGACCGAGACTGGATTAAATCCTGGCAATCCAGGCGACCTTGGAAAATCCAAGGCATATGAGTACCATAATTAGCAGGCTACAGTGGGCTGGCCTGGGCATCTGACCCCACAGCGGGCCCAGGGTATGGCAGGGAAGCACATGCCCTGGGCCCACTTGATGGGGCCACCAACGAGCAGTTTCTGTTCCCTTGGCGGTTTGCACTGCCAGCTGTGAGAGCTCCTTCAGCAAGTTACAACTCATGGCCTTAGGCGCTGTTTTCCATAGATACGTCGCAGCCTGAAGCCCACTGTTTATTTGGGGAAGTGTGTTTCTGGTTTCTAAAAAAGCAAGTCACAAGGGGTGAACTTTTGGGAAGCCGACCACTTGGCATTTGGGACCACATCTCCCTCCCCAACAAAATGACGTGTTCTTCCGTTGGAGCAGGGTCTGAGTTTTGTACCATTTTTGTTCCCTTGGCGCAGCTCGCGGAGTGTTGGGCACATGGGAGACTCTGAGCCAAAGCCTGACGTTGGCCTTACCTGCTAAGTTTGCCCTTGACTCTAAGCCCTCCTGACCTGTTCCGGCCCGGAGCGCCAGGCTGCTATTCGCCCTCCGGGCCACAGGGGGCGCCGCGGTACGCACACGGTGGAGTCGGGCGGCCGAAGCTCGTCTTGGCCAAGAGCCCCTTGCTCCAAGAATGCACCGCGCGTCGCCCAGCATGCATCTGTGTCAACACGGCGGCGGCAGCTTTCTTCGGGGTCCGGCGCAGCCCAGGGTAGCACACGGCCCGGTGTTGAGGGCGGCGGTCACCATGGCGGAGGCGGCGCCGGCGCGGGTAAGAGGCGCCTTGGCGCCGGCCGAGGGTGCGCCCGGCCGGGGGCGGGCTCTGGGCCCGCACTCAGTGGGGGCTTGGCCCCCGGCGCTGCTCCCGCGACCCTGACGCTCCGCCCTGACGCTCGCCGGCGCTGTCCGCGTCGAGGTGGGCGCCCCCGCGCTTGCATTCTCGGGGAGGGACTTCTCGGAGGCTCCTTTCGGCCCGGCTTGGTCGCTCCGGCTGGTGCTGAAGGCGAGCTCGTTTCTCGGTGGCAGAGCCTGGTCCCCCTCGCTGCCAGGGTGCGTCCCGGGACCCAGGACTTCCTGCCGCTCTCGGGGCAGCTTGTTCTTGGCCTGGTGTGTCGTTGGTCCCTCCTGCACACTCTCCGGCTTCAGACCTCGTACTTGGTTGAAGGCAGGCAGAGCTGCCTGTCCTGGGGCACGGCTGCTCCATCACTGTGTGTTTGCTCGGTTTTCTTTGGGAAGCTGTTTGAGCCCGCCCTCCCTGACGGTCTGCATTCACGGGATGTCGAGACAGAGCTGGGGGTGAGGGAGGGCCTAGGCGTGGAGTCGGGAAGCGATCCCAGCGGGAACTCGGCGCTCGGCTCTCCACTCTCCGGTTGGGTGATTTGAGGGACCTGGGTTCGCGGAAAGGCACGCTGATGGCGCAGTGCATTGGGCTGCTAACAAGGTTAGTGGTTCGAACCCACTAGCAGCTCCATGGGAGAAAGATGAAGCAGTCGGCTTAGGTGAAGGTTTCCTTACAGCCTTGGGAACCCTCCAGGGCAGTTCTGTAACACATGGCGTCGCTATATGTCAGAATGTACTCAGTGGCAGTGGGTTTGCTGTCTGTTAACCCATCTGGGCCTCCATTTCCGTACTTGTAAATTGAGGGGGTTCAAGTAGTCACTAGATGACTTCTAGGGTCACAGCATTCTAAAGTCGTGGGATATTCTGTGGAAAAGGCAGGTGCAGTGTAGTGGGTTTTTAACACAGCCTTTTTGTGCTTCAGGAGCACTCTCAAGGTCACGTAAGGTCTTTGTGAGAATTGAGAGCTCAGGAAACGCTGCAGTGAGCCCTTCCTGTGAGGAGAGTGCACTCCAGTTGACTGTGTAGGAGATGGGTAAGGACTGAGACGGGAAAGACTGGAGGACTTACAGGACCGCAGTGTGTGTTTGCACGGAAGTTAGAGTGGAAGCAAGAAGACAACATTTACAACGATTACCTCATCTGAACCCTGTAAGCCATGCTGAGTCGGAGACTTGGCTTTTCCTCACAATCACATTTGTACTAAAATGGGGCAGGAGGACAACTTCCAGAGTGCTGCTTCATGTGGTCAACAGACCTGCTTAAGAGGAAGCCATAAAGACCTATCCAGCATCCCCAACTTTGCTTTAAATAACTTGTTATGGTTCTGCCGTTATAGTATTTATTCAAATTGTTCTTGAACATATTTTTAATCTCAAACATTATCTTGTCAGTTAATTCTGTAGCTCTCATTTAACAGTGGATAACTAGATACCTGACTGAGTCTCATGATAAATACAACTGAAACTGCTGGGGGAAAACACCATACAAGTACATATAAAACATTTTAAAACTTACATTAGTAAAGAATACTTGGAGCCCAAAAATTAAGTGAGAGAATTCTTAAGCGAGAAGCAGAGTTCTGAAACCAGCTTTGAGGGTATTTGCTCAGCACTGTTTATGGCCTCAAGGGACCTGGAAAATAGAAGACAAAACTCAAGAGCCTAAGATGGGGAGTCTAAGAAGCCCCCTACCCCAACCTCATAAAGCGAAAACTTCAAAGGGCAACATTCTATGGAAGGGTGAACTGAAAGTAAGCTCTTAATCCAAGTGACTGCAATGTCGATGTTGTCAAACCTTCCTACTGAAAGAGGACAGGTGGTGTGGTTGCCCTTTGAGAATTCATAGTGACCCTTATGGGTTTGTTGCTCGAATTAATACTACCTGGATGTTCAAAGAAGCTTCAAGCCAAACATTTTAGTCTAGAGCCCCCAACTGTCTAGTAGAAATAAACATAAATATTCTCTGGAGGAATGTACATCTAACGCCAAAACCAAAAGCAAACTCACTGCCATTAAGTGACCACCAGTGGATTTCCAAGGCTAGAAATGTTTACAGAAGCAGACTCCTCATCTTTCTCTGCAGAGTGGCTTACGGTAGGCTTAAAGTGCCAGCCTTCTGGTTAGCAGCCAAATGTCTTAACCACCACACTACCAGAGCACCTTACCTTTAACACAGACTTCAGATATTTCTTACAGATAAAGTTCCAAGAAATTTGAGTCCACAATCAAAAATTACTGAAGAAGCAAGGAATAGCCATGAGGAGAAGCCAGTGAAAAGAATGGATAACAAAATTAGACCCCTCATGGATTTCACTTGCAGGAAATATCAAACAGAATATGGACTAAGTAGCTGTATTATAATTATAAATTATATATATAAATTATTATATAGAAAAATGAAAAAGTCAGTGGAAAGCTTTACTTAGCACTTTAGAAATGCTGTAGAGATACATAGCCAAGTTCATTATGGAGTAGAAGAACTTGGTCAGAATGCAGCAGAGAGAGAGAGACGGAGAGATGGAAAATGTGAAAAGTTAAGAGAGATGGAAGACAGAATGAGAAATTCTAACATTTATCTAGTTGGAACTCACATACTCGTGCATACGCATACATGCACACGTGTGCAGTCTCAGCATTAGAAGCCATATTTGATGAGGAATAAATGGCTGAGAATATTGTAAGACTGTGCAAAACATCAATACGTAGAAGCTCAGTGAATCTCACAGTGTATCAAAAGAAATGAGAGATGCGTAATAGGAAAGTACAGAATGCAAGGCAGAAAGAATTCAAAAGCAACCAGATAAAAAAGATACATTAACTTCAAGTGAACCATTATACAGCTAAGGGGTTAACTTCTCAACAGGAGTGATAGAAGCCAAGACAGTAATGATATCATGAGTGAGCTGAAGGAAAATAACTGTGATCCCAGAATCTTATACTCCGCCAAAATGTTTTTCAAAAAGGAAGGTATACTTCTTAGACATAAGACACCTTGTGGGATTGAATTTCTGGGTTTGAAGGATTAGGACCATACTCTAATGGGACATCTCAGTCATTTGACATAATATAGCTCATAAAGTTATGTTCTACATCCTAGTTTGGTGAGTAGTGTCATCTGGGGTCTTAAAAGTTTGTGGGCAGCCATCTACGATAAAACTATTGGTCTCTATGTGCCTGAAGCAAAAGGAAAAGAAAGAAACCAAAGACTCAAAGGAAAAGCTAGTCTACAAGACAAATTGCCTCCATGAACTACAGCATCCACCCTGAGACCAGAAGAATTAGATGGTGCCCATGTACTACTACTCACTGTTCTAATCAGGGCCACAATAGATGGACCCTGATATAATGGAAGAAGAATGTGCAACAGAACTTCACATCCCTAAAAACAAAAAAACAGACTTGCTGGACTGATTGAGACTGGAGAACTCTGAGACCTGAGACTACTGCCCTGAGATACTCTTAAGCCTTGAACCCAAACTAACCCCTGAGGTGACCTTGCAGCTGTTTAACAAAGTGGCTTCAAAAACAATGACTAACACCTACACTGTTTTGGTATTTGCATTCCAGACTGCTAATGTGGTGTCTTTGCATTTGTTTGTTGACCATCTCCATTCTTTCTTTAGTTTTATTTTGGGGCCTTTTTTTTTCCACCTCATATTCTTGTTTAGCAGTAGTTTCTTTCAATTTGTTTTTGTGCTTTGGAATATCTATGATAGCTGTTTAATATTAGAGATATTCTACCCTGATGCTAGACATTCATTCTAGGTCAAGTACATTTAGATAAAATTGACACATAGTAAAATTCATTTTTTAGGTACACACCATCACCGTGCCATGATACAGAATATTTCCATTACCTTAGAAAGTTCCTTCCTGTCCATTTGTAATCAGTGCCCTCCCCTCGGCAATGACTAATCTTTCTGTCCCTGTAGTTTTGCCTTTTCCGGAATGTTCTGGATATGGAATTCAGTAACTAGACTTTTGTGTCTGACTTCTTTCACTTAGTATAATGCTCCAGAGATTCATTCCTAGTCCATGTAGCAGTAGTTTGTTCCTTGCTGAGTAGTATTCCATTAAGGAGCCCTGGTGGCACATTGGTTAAATACTCGGCTGCTATGTCATTCGAACTCAGTAACCAGTCTGTGAGAGGAAGATGTGACAGTCTACTTCCGTAGAGATTACAGCCATGGAAACCCTTTGAGGCAGTTCTACTCTGTCTTATAGGGTTGCTGTGACTCCCAGTCAACTCAGTACTTACTACTACTACTCACTGCAGTCGAGTCAAAACTGACTCATAGCGACCCCTCCTTGGGTTTCCCAGGCGGTATCACTACAGAAGTAGATTGCCCATCCTTCCTTCTGAGGAGTGGCTGGTGGGTTTGAACTGCCAGCTTTCTGGTTAGCAGTCAAATGCCTTAGGCACTATGCCACCAGAGCTCCTCAACTCAGTGGCACACAACAATATTCCATTGTATGAGTGGACTGCTATTTGGTTATCCATTCATTAATTGATGGACATTTGGATTGTTTCTGTCACAACAGACAACTGAAAACCAACGAGAAGAAACTTGTTATCTGGAAGACCAGGAGGCGACTGCTGTGCTCATCCCAGTCCAGTCTTCTATCTAGAAAAAGTGCTAGCAAACAGGATGCTGGGCCACAGAAAGGAAAGAGGAGAATCCCCAAAGCTAGCTACTTAGAGATCTAAAGTTAAAAGCAGAACTAGTGAGGTAAAACGTTTTTATCCAGTAATCTGGTATTTTGGTATTAGTTTCACTTATCTTTTACATTGAAATTTTCTTTTAATGTTTTTTTAGGGAGATTTTTTAAGCTTTTGGCCTAGTATGATTGATAGTGAATTAACTGAATGGAGTAACTGGAAGTCATGGCCAGATTGTGTTCAAGTCATTTTATTTTGTCCCCTTTCCTCCAGACCACCACCCTTGTGTAAAAACAGTGTGGCAGCACCTCGTCTTATGTCACAAGGGGGGAGGAGATTCATTATCAATATTAACAGCTTGAGGCTAAGCCCCATGAGGTGGTCAGACATACCAACTTGCTACAACCTTTATATCAATTCTCACACTAGCCTTCCCTCCCATGGCACTCTCTACTTCTCTGTTTGGTTCACTAATTCATTGCAGTGGCCACACAAAACTGAGAGTGTACTCATAGTTACATGGTTTATTAGGAAAGTAACAGGATACAATTCAGGATCAGGAATGACTCAGAATATAGTTCTTTGGTCAACATAGCTTCTTGGCTGTGCCCACAGACAGGCACCTCTGTCTGTCTGTCTGTCTCGGTCTCTGTCTCTCCTCTCAGCCCCTGGCCCGGCCTCTGCCCTGCTTGGGCAAGTGTTGCAAACCTCTTTTGGCTCCACCACTTAAGTGCCCAGGCACCTCCTTCTGCCAGTAAGCTTCACCCTGAAGGTGTTCAGCTCTCTCACTCTGGATCATCAGGCCTAGCTCCACCAGCCACCCAAAGGCACCCCACTTTGTCAGCAGGCTTCCTGCCTGAAGGAGCCTCTCTTGCTGTCTGGGTCGTCACACCCACTGTAACTACCATGCTCTATGGCCTGGGAGGCTAATGCACCATATCGTGCTGGTCTCCTGGTTCTGCCGCCGCCACTTCTCATCACTTTACCCCATTTCTGGTTTTACAGCACTCTGCCTGTCTCCTGGGTCCAGGAGATTCACAGAGTAGGGATCCTGGGGCCTAAAAGACATGCTCTGCTCCCATTCTTCTTGGTGGTAGTCAGGTCCCCCCATCTGCCTCTAGCATGTCTCATTTTAAGCTTAGTAGAGTGGCAAAACTGACCAGTCCCTTCGTGAAGTTTCCATATACTTTATTTGCATGGTTGCATCCCCACATTGGTGCATGCACCTTACTTGCATTATCTGCAAGCTATCCAAATCCCTTGGTGGGCCACAAGTACCTCATTTGCATATTACTAGCCAGTCATTTGGTGAGAGTTAACAAGACCATGGCAAGAAAGGCTATATAAAAGTGATCTGTTGTACTGCTGGCCACCCCCTGGCTTTTCTAGCCATGGTTCTTTCATACTTGGAGGATAACTTCTCCCTCCCGATCATTTTACAAGTCCAAAATAGTCATTAACCATTAGTCCTTCAGTAGGGCAAAGAGTCCTTAGGGTGATGTTACTCAGCTACGAGCCATTCAGGTCTGCTGCAGGTGTCCATCTGATCTGGTCTGGTTCACCAAAAGTCATCTTGGTGTCACCTTTTCTGGTGTCTGATAAAATTTAACAGAAGATTATTCCCTTGCTCTGAGCCTCATGAGATAGCAGCATAGCAAAATCTTAGGGGAGTTTAGGTTCAGCCCCTATACTCTAGTGCAGCAGTGCCTCCCCTTAGCCTACTCTTCCACACTTAAGACTTTTACAGTTTTTTACAATCACAGTAGACTGTTAATCAACACTCAGAACTGAACCATATAATCCTATCAGCATCTTCAGCCCTCTTCTCCACACCTATTAGGAAAAGAGGAAACAGTTTGGTGGGGATCCTCCCTTGTCCCCCTAATTTTGAGTGTAAGCACATCCAAAAAAGCATGTAAGCCAACCCCTCATGCCTTTATCTCCCCCTATTTTACATAGCCAATTTCTAAATTGCCTGTCCCTATCAAACTAGTACTCTGAGGAGACAAGCGCGTGCCTTGATCTGAAGAATCTTCTGTTCCAGTCGGAACTTTGAGCATGTACATCCACAAGCAAAATCCAGTCCAGGGCAGGCCATCAAATTGCAGCAATCTGTACCAGCTCATGGTGTCACACATCTTCATGTGGTTGGGTTCTAGTTAGCTCATCCCTACCTCTGAGGACGAGGTCAAGAGGCACCACCTGTAGGCTCAGGAGTCCACAAAATTTCTGCACTTCAGACAGCCCCTTTCTCTCTCTGTCTCTGTCTCTCTCATCCCCAGTCTCCATGGCTTGGGTCTATGGGCACCAAAGGAACATGTCTAAATTTAGGCCATTTCTTCATGGCTGCAGCTTCCCTACTACTGCTTGAGTGGACTCGGGTCGTCTAGGTGGTCTCCACAAGCAATCTACTCACCAGCTTCCTTAAACTTACAGTGCTAGAAGGGAATTCTGATGGGCACTGACATTTCCTGTGTCATTGTTACCCAAAAGCAAACATCTTGTTTAAAATTCAAAAAGCAAAGGAGTCTTTATTTTTTTTTTTTTCTTCTTGAAGGTCCTTCCATCATGCAAATCTCCCATTCTCTCAGCAGTTCTTGGTAGGTCTATGTGTCTTTTTCAGTGCAAATCTCCTGATTGGAAAGAGTCTGGGTATCACTACCACTGCTGTCCAGTGAGATTAGACTCATAGTGACCCCTCCTTGGGTTTCCGAGGCAGTATCACTATGGAAATAGGTTGTCCAATCTTCCTTCTGAGGAGTGGCTGGTGGGTTTGAACTGCCAGCCTTCTGGTTAGCAGTTAAATGCCTCAGGCACTATGCCACTGGAGTATGGGTAGGGATCAGGTTTTCTGGCTAAATCCCCAAAACTCTATACACAGGGTTACTGCATTGAAACCAACAGCCTGTGTTTGAGGCTCCCCTTTTAGTCTTTTAGTTTATCCAATCCCATAGAGGCTGAAGGTGAAGTTACAGCTCTCTGTTATCTGTAATACTCAAGATTAATTTCCATCATATGTTTAGGTCTGTTTTCACAACAGTAAGTAGGAGAAACATTCAAAATCCAGCGCATACATTCAATTAAACACATAACTCTTTTTTAAACATTCCAGTTTCATCTTCTCTACACTTTGACTATCTTACCATTCATATACATAATGGCCTTGGACTTCTGGGCGGGTAGAACCAGAAGACCCTGGCCCCTGTCAGCCACTTTATTTAAGCCACTCCAGATGCAGTTTTTCTCCCTTCAGCTGTAGCATAACATCTTTCTTTAAGCTATTACAGACAACAACCCAAGTAACCATCTATGAATCGTAAGTTTAATTTCTCACACCCTTTCATTCTTTCTCTCACAAAGTTCCATGTTTCCATGAGTGTGGAGCCATTGCATAAAATCCCACTCCTGACACCAACTGTAAAAATAACAGCATCACATTTCCTTGTCTAATGTCACAAGAGGGGAGGAGAATCATTATTGGCATGAACAGCCGAAGGCTTATCCCTATGAGGTGGAGGTCAGACATAACACCTCTCTCAAAACTTTTTACCAATTCTTATGCCAGCTGTCCCTCCCATGGCACTCTATACTTCTCTGCTGGGTTTCATAATTTGTTGCAATGGCCACACAACTCAAACCATGCTCATGGTTAATGGGATTTATTAGGGAAATAACAGGATACAATTCAGGATCAAGAATGGCTCAGGATACAATTCTTTGATCAGGATAGCTTCTGGGCCATTCCCGCAGGTAGAACTCTGTCTCTCTTGGCCCTGTGGCCCCTGGCCTGCTTGGTCAAGTGTTACAAAGCTCTTTTAGTACCCAGGGGCACCCACCCCACTCTGCCATAGGCTTTGGCTGAAAAGCACTCAGCTCTCTCACTCTGTAGGTCAGCAAGCTTACCTCCATTGATAAGTGCTTGGAGGCATCCCATTCTGCCAGCAAGACTCCTGCCCCAAAGGTGCTCAACTCTCTTGCTCTGTGGGTTGGCACACCCAGTATAACTGCCTTACTCCATGGGCCAAGAAGTCCTCTGCACCATCTCATGCTGGTCACCTAGTTTTGCTGCCACCGTTTCTCTGCTGCTACTTCTGTCTCATGCCACCTCTGATGTTACAGTTCTTTGTCTCCTGGGTTGGGGGGATTCTCAGCACAGGGACCCCAGGTCCAAAGGATGTGCTCCACTCCTGTTTCTTCTTGGTGGTAGTTGTTCCCCCCATCTGCTGCTGACATGTCTCATTTTAAGCCTGGAAGATGGCAAAACTGACGAGTCCTCTCATTAGGGTTCTATATACCTTATTTATATATGGGGCCCCACCTCCATAAAGGTGCCATGCACCTTACTTGTTATTAGTAAGCTATCCAATCCCCTTTGTGGGCCACAAGTACCTCATTTGTGTAGTCCCATCCAATTATTTGGTGGAGTTGTGAGACCAGGGAGAGAAAAGCCATGCAAGACTGATCCATTGCACTGCACTTGGTCACAGCGGGTCTTTCAAAGATACTTCCTCTCAGTGTCCTGCTGTCTGTGTCCTCATCATGGTTAAAGCAGCAGCCTAAGTGGCATGTGTACCATGTTGAAGATTTGGGAGTTTAAGACTAAAATTATATACAGTGGAAGATGGGGGTAGGAGAGCAGTTTTGACAAATGTGCCACTGTCACTGTTACCAAGATCCAGAATATTTTCATCATTCCAGAAACCCTCCAACTGTTAGGTGGCTAAATGTTGGTTTTGCTAATTTTGAACTTCATTCACAGTGGTTCTCCTACTTCAAGAACAGATCATAAGAGTGGGAATGATAAGGAAAATGTCAGTAGGTTTAATGCAGTCATTTCAATAAATGTTTGTGGAGAATTTAGTATATGTTACTCATTCAGCTACCTGCTACAGTGCAAAGATGAATGAGTTCAGTCCTGTAGGCCCGGACAGTCCTGTCTCTCCTGTAGGGGGAGCTATTGAAAGGCTTTTAGCAGAGTGACATCAGTTTTGAAATCTGGCAGCTGTTGAGGCAGAAATAGATTAAACACATTATTTATCAGAGCAAAAAATTACAAACGGCCCAAAATATCAAGTAGAAAGTGGTTTTTAGAAATGAATACTGGCATGGAGAAGTGCCCGTGAAAAAATAGGTTAAGTGTGAAAAAGTCAGTCCAACCCACTGCCATCCAGTTGATTCCCACTCGCAGGGCCCATAGAGGACAGAGTGGAACTGCCCAGAGGGTTTCCAAGGCTGTCAATCTTTAAGAAGCAGACTGCCTCATCTTTCTCCCACAGAGTAGCCAGTGGATTTGAACTGCTGACCTTTTGGTTAGCAGCCAGATGCCTTAGCCACTGCACCATCAGAGCTCCTTCTAAGTGTGAAAAGCCGGTAACAATGCATCATATATAATGTGACCTCAATTTTGTCAAAGATTTTAAAGTTGGAAAAGCTTATAGGAAATACACCAGAATTCTCCCAGCTTATCTCTGGGTGGTCATAGTTAATATGGTTTCGTTTCCTTTCTACATTTCAGTATTTTCCAAAGGTATTACAACGTATGTGTATTATTTTCAGTATCAGAATTAAAAAAAATAATATTTTCAAAGTAGCACTAACTGTCACCTAAAAGGACAAAAAACTAGAGCTAGGAATGAGGTACCCTCTGCACTTCCGGCAGGCGGGCAGTGCTTTGTTTCCTCCAGGTTTGGAAATCCCCTTGTCAGTCTGACTCGGACTGTATTTTTCACAGCACAAGAGAAAACGGCGCTCCACACCCCTAAGTTCTTCCACACTTCCTCCACAAGCGACAGAGAAGACCTCCTATCTGCAGACTTCGGAGATCTCCCTCTGGACCGTGGTGGCTGCCATCCAGGCCGTGGAGAGGAAGGTGGACGCCCAAGCCAGCCAGCTGTTGAACCTGGAGGGCCGCACGGGGACGGCCGAGAAGAAGCTGGCCGACTGCGAGAAGACGGCCGCGGAGCTCGGGAACCACATGGAGGGCAAGTGGGCCGTGCTGGGGACGCTGCTGCAGGAGTACGGGCTGCTGCAGCGGCGCCTGGAGAACATGGAGAACCTGCTGCGCAACCGGAACTTCCGGGTCCTGCGGCTGCCCCCGGGCGGCAAGGGCGAGGTGCCCAAGGTCGGAGATTATAAGGGAGGCAATCAGGGAGAACAACCCTTTTCGTTTCAAACTCTAAATTCCTGCCTTTTCCTTCTTGGCTCCATCTGGAGGTACTTTGTGATTTCAGGTATCCAGGTCATTTGAGGACGATGGAGTCTGTCTGTCGGAGCAGGAGTGGGAGAACCTGGAGGACTGGCAGAGGGAGCTTTACAGAAACGTGATGAAGAGCAACTATGAGACTCTGGTCTCTCTCAGTAAGTCGGTTTCCGCCTTAGGAATCTCTCTTAGATGTGCTACAGTTCCTGACCCATAGCCTGTCACCTGAATTCCTAGAATCCGGTTGGTGTTTGGGTCCTCAGTCTGTGCAGGGTTGAGAATGGACATTGCTGTGTCTTCCTGTTTCAGAGGCATTTGGAAAGGTCTCAGTGTTGTTTGTGCCTTTTGTATTTGAGGTGCAGCATATGGAATCACCTAGATTCCTGAGGGACATGAATCAGGGTGAGCACAGAACTCGGTCCTCTGAGATGGAGGTCAGATATACCTCCACTCTCCAACTTCTTCACCATTTCTGACACCAGCTGTTCCTTCCGTGGCACTGTGCATTTCTCTGTTGGGTCTGATAGTCCATTGCAATGGCCATACAGAACTCACAGACCATACTTAAAGTTTTGTGGTTTTCTATGAAGTAACAGGCTACAACTCGAGGTCAGGACACCTTGGAAGTAACAGCCTACAACTTGGGTTCAGGATCAGACAGCAGGTAGACAAGGTCTAGAAGACTTCGCTGAGTTGGAGAGCACGTCCCTGCCTCCTTCAGTGCAGGACAGCTTCCTGTCAGACCGTCTTAGCTGCCCTCAGCCGTGCAGGCTGCCTCTCGGACCTACAGGCCCCTGCTGCAAACTGGCCCCGTGCACAGGCAGCATAGCAGCCGGCTCAGCTCTCTCGGCTCCTTCCCTAGCAGCGGCATTCTGTTGGCTAGGCCCCCTTCCAAGCCTCTCGCCTCGTTTCTCTGCTGCCAAGCCGCCTTCTGGGCCTGTAGCTGCCAGCTTTCTGCTGCTGAGCTCCTTCCAGGCTCCTCGCCGTCTTCACTCATATACAGTTTTTAGGGGTTCCCCTTGCAGGAACCCCAGGTCCAGACTGCTCTGCTCCTGGCTCTTTGGCTTAAGGTTCCCACCTTTCCCTGTCTTCTTCCTTTGCCTCTCAGATCTCTGGTGGGTGGTCGTCGCTTTTATGAGCAAATTCCCAGTCAATTTCAAGGCATGTCCCTCCCAGCAGGACCACAAACCGACCAGTGCCCTCAGTGAACCTCAAGTCCCTCAGTCCTATTGGGTGGATTTTTAGCCCCTGTTTAAATTGGAAACTAACTAATTCCTGGCAAGACTGTGGCCCAGGAGAGCATTCTGGGAGAGACACAAGCTCGTGAGATACCAACGCTCAGGTCTGACACAAAAGTAACTCCCCTGGAGTAGAAAGCAACCAGGTGGTTTTCTCCAAAGAACTAAGGCAAACCTTACTGCTGAGGGCTTAAGGGAACAGTCCCCAAACTGTTTGTCCAAAGAACCAAGGCAAAAGGCCACCTGAAGGAACTCACTTCAGCGGAGCATTCCTTCTCTGGTCATAGTCTGTGGAAACACGCACCAGTAGAGATGTCCCTCATGTGCGCCGTAGTGTAGTACATCTAGGGTGCCTCATGCTGTTAACGTTCAAGACTGTTTGACAAGGGATCATGTCTTTTTATTTTATTAAATTTTTATTGTGATTTGGGTGAAAGCTTACAGAGCAAATTCGTTTTTCATACAGCAGTTCACATTTTGTTTTATGACATTGACTGCAATTCCCCACAATGTAACAGCTGTCTTCCCACTTCCTCCCTGTAGTTACCTCTTCCCTATGCCCTTCTTTGTTATGTACTCCTGTCTCCTGAGCTGTTTCCCTGTGCAACCACTGCCCTTCTGTTCTCCCATGATAGATATTCCAAGGAGTATATCTACCCAATGTAAATGTTCACCGCATGTGCCTCTCTGTTGTTTGGCTGGAAGCCACAGGAATGAGTTCAGACCTGAAGGGTAACTAGTGGCCATAGTCTTGGGGGTCTCACCAGGCTCTATCAGACCAGTAAACCTGGTCTATTTTTTTTTTTTTTTTTTTTTTTGAGTTTTGTTCCACATTATGTTCCCACTCTAGCCAGGAGCTCCTGTACCGATAAGGCATTGTGTCTTACCTGGCACGAGGCAAACAGCACAGGCTGACCAAAGTATTTTCTTTGCATGTGCTGGACTACAGCTGATAATTATGGTCTCATGTTTATTTCATGTTGGTTAATAGTGCTTTCAGTAAGGAGAAGTCTTCATATGCAAGATATGAACGATTACTAACGGGTGCATTTTGTTTGGTAGATAACACCTTTCAAAACCGAAGTCCACAGAGGAATAGCAAGGGCAGTGTGTCTGGGGCAGAGAGGTGAGGGAGACAAACCAAGTTGGGACTGCCCTGGGCCGGTGCCTCTCAGTGCCTGGCTCCTCGTTGTGACCATGGGGTGGAGGTTCCTGTCTTACCTGGCAGTGCCTCTGTGGGACAGGATTGGGTCCCTGAAGGTACCCAACCTCCAGGACATACACATATGAAGAAGGGCTGGTAGAAGGATGGTGGGCTCTGGAGGTGCTGGCAGGCGAGCATGCGAAGGCAGAGGGGGTTGGTCAGGTGTTAAAACAGACCTTTCAGATGGCCAGGACAAAGCAGTGAGCTTTGCAGCCCTGGTCCCTGACACTGCTCCCTGTGCTCAGTGGCACCTGACTAGTTCCCAGTGAGTTGAGGCTCACACTGCACTATTTCCACCCAGAGGTTCTTGGCCAGCCCGAGGGAGAAGATGAGTTGGGTACAGAGATGCTGGGTGGCTTGGAGGAGCAAGGCCCTGGTGGTGCCCACCCAGGTGAGTGGCTCCAGAATGTTCCACCCCTCCCCCACCCCTCAGCCTATAGTGAGCTCCCTCACTGAGGATATAGCTTGTACCCCGTCCCCTGGCACTTGCTTCTTCAGGTCTTTGGTTATCATTAATTCACCTGTCTGTGTATATCTGGGTTCGTTGCCACTACGTGGGGGCCCAAGAGCCAGGGCTGTACCACACCTGTCATGCCTGCAGAGCAGAGCACGTGATGGGCATCATAGCTGCCAGACAGGCAGAGAGGTGACTCAGCTCCCCACGAGTGACACTGACACCGTGGGGTAGGACAGCAGTGTGTTGTTCAGACTAATTACTTTACCTGTGAGTCAGTAAAGGTGCTACAGTATACTTGGCCATTTTAACAGGGATCAAAATACACTGGGAGTATTTCCTGGGGGAACCACTGTTTATAACATTTTCTGTGAGAATAACACTCCCAGACTTCTGTCACTAGGTCTGGCTTGAACGTGGTTTCTCAGGCCTTACAGCCTGGTCAGCCTCCTCCTGACCTAACATCTTGGGTGCTTTGGTCTGAGCCCTTCTGAACCATACAGATGTTCATCTCCAAAGATGCTATGGGTATGGGGTTTGATCTTGTTTTTTTTGGTCTTTCCCTCACAGCAGATGGGACCACAATCAAACAGGAGGTGCAGTACGAGCAGGAAGGCTTTGAGGACCTTTCTGGAGAGTTCCGGCACACGGCTGAAGAGCAGGCTCTCCTGTGCCCTGGGCAGGCAGCTCCCTGGGACGGTCAGGGCAGTTCTGTCTTCACAGAGTTGGGCCCTGGGGGCTTGGGTCCAGGGGAGCCCATCAAGGACAGCGGGGACCTTGGCAGGACTGTGGGTGGCCGCCGGAAGCAGGCACCCAGGAGGCAGGTACAGCTGGCTCAGGTAGGGGGGCTGGGCCTGCAGCTGCAGAGGGACACTGCTGGCCCCTATGAGTGTTCTGAGTGTGGGGTCGGCTTCCGCGGCAAGCAGCAGCTGGCCGTGCACCAGCGGACCCACCTGGGGTGGGGCTCTCACACAGACCCTGAGCCCGGAGAGAACCTTCGGCCCAGGCCTCGACTCAAGCCACAGGCCCGGAAGGCCAGGCTGCACCAATGTGGCGTGTGCCTACGCAGCTTCAGCTGCAAGGTGAGCCTGGCTGCCCACCAGCACTGCCACCCACAGGAGGGGCCTGGTGCCAGCCCCCGCACCCAGGAGAGGTTCTCGCCTAACAGCCTGGTGGCCCTGCCCGGCCACATCCCTTGGAGGAAAAGCCGGAGTGCCCTCATCTGCGGCTACTGTGGGAAGAGCTTCAGCCACCCGTCTGACCTGGTGCGCCACCAGCGCATCCACACGGGCGAGCGGCCCTACAGCTGTCCCGAGTGCGACAAGAGCTTTGTGCAGAAGCAGCACCTCCTGCAGCATCAGAAGACCCACCAGCGCAAGCGGGCTGGGCCCGCGCTGGACCCCGGGAGGCCCAAGGGCCTGCTTTAAGGGGGCGGGCCCCTCGCCGTCCGGGGGGCGGGGGGCACAGCACCGGTCCACTGAGGAGCTGCTGCAGGGGCAGTGCTGACCTGCCCTGAGGGGTGCAGCCTCGTCTCCAGTGGGCGGTCTGCCCTTGACCCGGTCCCAGGCTGCCCAGGACTCTGCTGAGCCACACGGTCTCCTAGCTGTGCTGTCACTTGGCACTGCAGGTGGCTCTTCTGAGGTGTCTGGTCTTCCCGTCAGGGTGGAGTGAGGCCACAGGCTGAGCAATGGGTGAGGGCTCCGGGCAGCACAGCCACCTCGATCTTCTCTTGGAGTCAGTCTGTCTGCTCATAACACAGAGAAGTACTGTTGTGAATCACTTACCTGCTCTGAAGATCCTGTTTTGGAATCAGTTTTGTTAATTTAAAGGAGTACAGGCCAATACTTGTCTTTTGAAATTTTGAGTTGTAGAAGTTAGTCCTGACATGGGGCCTGGACCTACCCTCTAGGAGGGGATAGTTTGTGGGTCTCCTGGGGCCCATGTGGAGGTCAGCGATGAGGCGACAGTGTGCCAGGTGCCTCTTGGGGGGACTTGGCCCTTTTCATAGGTCTGCGTTGTCTCAAAGGGACCAAGGGGAAGAGAGGAGGCCGCTAGTGCCCACTGCCCCTGCTGGAGTGGGCTGGAGTGGGACCCCGGCCCTGGCTGTGGGATTGGCTTCCTCACACTTCCTCCTTGCTCCGCCCCATCCTGGCTGTGGCCCTGCAGCCTCCGGTGGAGCCTGCTTTGTTTCTTACGGTGGTTGAGCTTGTCCAGATGACCATTTATTTGACGTTGTTCCAATTACACAGTTTCTGAAGTGATGGAGAAAAGGCACATGGCGGCTCGTCACAGGAGCGTGAATGGGAGGGGCTCCTGGGTCATGGGCTGCGTCCCCATTGACTCGCAGCTGCCTAGAATAAAACTCGATAGTAGTGAAAGTGGGTGCATGTTGGATGTTTTTCTCCATTCCTGAGGGATGCTTTCTCAGACCATGGCCTACATCTGCCCATAAGCCCGGGGTGGCCAACAGGAAGGCATGTGTGAGAATCTTTGTGGGACCGTGTTGGTGGAGGAGGGCCGGCGCAGTCCCTGCCCGCTGCGGAGAGGTCGACAGGCTGGCTGGCCAGATGCTGTGGGGAGTGGCCAGTTAGCAATGTGGCCGAGATGCCGTGGAGCCCTAGACACGCTGCACAGAGTGAGCCACGTCAGAGGCCGAGTGAGATCTCTCCAACACAGCTGTGTATGTGAGTCAAGTGCTGGCATACAAACCGCACATAGAAACCCAAAGGGACGTCCTACCAAGGTGACTATCTGGGGAGGGGGCCTGTGGGGAAGGAAAGGAATAAAGTGGTGGCCATCCCCTGGGCTGGCTGTCCAGTGTGGGGTGGTCTGTGGGAAACAGTGCACAGGAGGTGCAGTACGAGGTCCTGGAGAGTTCCAGCACACGGCTGAAGAGCAGGCTCTCCTGAGTCATCCTTGACGGCACCCAGCTCCCGGCTTGATGGTGACTGTACCGCCTTGTGTGGGAGAGACCACTGACGCAGCCGTGCTCCCACTTTGCCAGCCTGGTGGCGCTTTCCCAGTAGCAGGGTGGGACATGTGGGACACAGCTGGGTTATTGTTGCGCTGGCTGCCACCTAGGGGGCACTCAGGTGCGAGGTGCTAGATTCGTGCTTTCCGTAAACTTGACCCCATTTTCATGTGTGAGACACTGGAGCGTGCAATGTGGCCAGGGCAGGTGGGGCCTCTGACCCGCGGGCACTCAGCTTAGTGGGAGGGTGGCCACAGGCAAGCCCCTCTGCCCAGGTGGCGCCTAAGTCCTTGTTCCTCAGCATGGTCTCTGCACCACAGCCTGGCACTCCTGGGTTCAGCTTAGTCTCAGAGCCGTGCCTGCCCTTTGGCATGGAGGAGGCTGTCCCATCATCTCCCTAGGGAAAGCCTATTACAGGGCAGGAGCACAGGGATGCCACCCAGAGGACAGAGATGGTCTAGTAGGAAGATCTGGGTCTACACATGGAGGCACGAAGGTCGAGCGTGAGACTCGAGCCTGCCCATTCTTGCCTCCTTCCCGCTCCACAGCAAACGTCCTCATCCTCACTCTTGGGTGGCCCTGCGGGTCCCCGTAACTCTAATCATGTGGCTTTTGCTATCAGAGTTACCATCCTAGACGTGGATTTCCTCAGAACCTCACACATCATCTGACTTCTCCCTCCATGCTTCTGCTGCCTAGGCTTTCCTCGCTCAGGGACACCCTTCTCTACTCACCGAGTCCTGCTTGTCAGCCACTGCCTAGTTCATAATCCTCTTCTGGGAAACTCCTCGCAGCTGCTTGTTTGTCAACAAACAGAGACTGGCACTTGTTAGGGGCTGGCACTCTGAAATACTTGAGATAACACCAGCGAACAAAACAGACCTTTGCCCAAGTTGGTTTCCAGTCCAACAGACTCCTCTTTGTGAACACAGACCTTTGCAGGCCAGTGCCAGCATTCCATCCTGCCCTAGATCTGTCCATACACACACCCAGTGCCCACAGTGTGCAAGATCTGCGGAGAGGTGCACGGGCAGTGCACACCAATGGCAAGCCTCCAACTGTTAGGCAGCCAAACACCAAGTAGACAGCTCTGTGTCTAAAGTGACACCAAGGGCTATAGGAATCAGAGGACAATTATTTTAGATGTGGAGTATTAAGGAAGACATAAAGGGGAAGGCTTTATATGAGGGGCCTTTTGAACCAGACCTTTACGGATGAGAGGGACATTCTAAATGAGGCAACGGGACCCAAACAGGAGAAAAGATGAGGCGTGTGAAGGACAATCCTTTCAGTGTTCTATGGGTGGGGTGTGAGGAGCAGAGGAACACAGGGTAGGAGACAGGGTGGGGCCGGGTGGCAGGGTCTGGATTTGGTCGGTAATGGAGAGCTAAGCACGAGTAACTCTTCTAGCTGGGATCTGGGCATACTCATCCAGAGAGAGTTAGAAAATGCTTGTTGTTTTGGGAAGTTAAGACTGGAGATAAGTCAGAAGGTTTGTGCAGGAGACCAAGGAAGAGCCCTGAGGGTGCAGCCGCAGTGGGAGTGTAGACTGACTGGATTCAAGGCGCAGCCAGCAGGACGGGAAGCTCCTGGAATGCAGGGTGTTTGGTCTTCTAGTCCTGCTGTAACAGCATACCACAGTGCATGGTTTCAACAGACAGGGATTATTCCCTCACCGTTTAGGAGGCTAAAAGTCTTGGGTTCAAAGTGCCAGCTCCAGGCACCGGGTGAAGGCCCCTTGACCTTAGGTTCTGCTCTGCCTCTTGCTCCTGGCCCACTGGAGCGGCAGTCATCTTAGACAGCTGCTGACTGCGGAGGCTGGCAAATCCAAGGTCAACAAGCAAAAAGGCACAGTCCCGAGATGATCAAGCAACACAGCAGGCCACTAGTTCAAGTCCAGAAACACTGAAGATTGGCAGACAAGATGGCAGGCCAGTGAGATGAAGACTTGGCCAAGCACAGGATCCAGAAGGGCCAAAAGGCCGAGGAAACTTTCTCAGAGCTGCTCCTTACAGACGGGAAGCAGACCACATCCCTAAGGCCGCTGCTCGGCTGCCCCAGTAGACTCCACCGTGGAGCTGATTGCCGGTCTCATTGTGGGGAGTGACTACGTTCACCCGCCCAGCCACTCAGCCAGGCCCGGACCAGCTGACAGCCAGCCTTCACGCCACTCAGGCCCAGGCTTGCTCACACCCAGCCTCCACAGCAGCCAACGCTGCCGTGTGCTCACCAGATGTGTTGAATAGACAAGCATTTGGGGCATTATGGGATAGCGGCTCAGTGTTATCTGAGATGGGCTGGCTCGTGGGGGGAGGGGGTTTGGCTACACTTCTGGTCCCCCCCAGGACTTCTCCACAGGTCCTCTACCTGATCCAAATGACTTGCCCGGAGGGTCAGGGGCAGGGCAGCAGGAACTCTCTCGGTAAGGACCCTGTGGTAACGGGACAAGAACACGTCCCTTGGGGTAATCCCCCGTGTTTTGGTGGCCCTCTGCTCTGAGGACCACCTGCTGCAGCAGAGGCCCTTGCCTGCACCTTGATGGAGCCACCCTTGTTTCCCCAGGGCCAGGACTCCCACCGGAGGTTGGCCCACTAGAGGCACCTGCAGCTCTGACCCGGAAAGGAGCACCTTCACAGGAGACACAGTAACAGGCGGGGACGAAGGTCAGGTCAATTGATGGCTCCACCTGGCCTGACACCAGGCTGGTCGGCTCAGGGATCCAAGTTACAGAGTAAAGTTCTTGTTTTTAATGATAAAACTGGAGTATGGGAAGCAGCTATGGCGGCCTGCGGAACAGGCCTGTGGTTCTCAAAGGGTGGCCCCAGAGCAGCAGAGCAGCAGTTTATCACTTGCGAACTTGCTAGAACTGCATTCTCACACCCTCCCCCTCATCACAACCTGCCAGTGTTTCATAGTCTGTTATGTGCCGGACGACTGATGAGATGATGGGTACTTCTGATGTCTTCAGCACACGTTTGCAAGTTGTCTCAGGTTGGGTCACTTCCACAAGGACTTGCACAATGAACAGTGTCACACATACTGATTTGATTTCTTGTGACCTTAACGTAATGCTTCCTAATCTCGCCCCAGATTGTAGGGCTGCACCCTGTGGGGAGAGAGTGTCTATTTCTTTACTCACTTGGTTGCACAAACTTTTACTGGGATTAACTATTTGGGCAAATTTTCTCCGCAAACATACATACGCACACGATGAAACAGAAAGCTACCCTGCTGCCTTCTTGGGCAAAGAACATTGACAAATGGGAAACACAGAAAACGGCGCTTTCTTCTGAGCCGTAACCGGTCTCCAGACAGAACGGAAACGGCCACAGATAGCTGGGTTCCCCAAGTGCCTGGAGCAGGAATCGGCGGGAGGGGTGCCCGCCTGCTGCTGGGGGGAGGGGCGGTATGTCGGAGGCTTGGGTGTAGCCAAAGGAGGCCCCGGAAAACTCGCACTCAGACAAACCAAGTTCTTGGGAAACGGGATCTGGGGGCCTTTGAAACCAATTTTTTTCTGTTCTGGAAAACGGAAGAACAGTGAGAACGTCCAGCTCCGCCTTCGGCCACACAGTGCATCACTGTGCATCTGCTAAGGGCGCTCGAACAGCGTGTCTGGATCCCCTAGGAACAGCGCGAGCGCCCTGCTCCCCAGTCTCCTTTCCTGGCGCCTTCGCGGCCTTTGCGGGGGGCCTCGGACCTTCCCTCGGTCCCGGCCCCGGCCCCGGCCCCGGAGGGAGGTTGGGGCCGGGGCGGGGTCCGCGGGACAGTTTCTCACCCGGGGAAGGACGGGCTGCCCCGTTCCCGGTGACCCCCACGACCCAAAGGGCGGCAGGGCGGGGTGGGCCGCTGCACCTGGCGCGGGTCCCGGGACTCCGGGCGCCAGCGAACGCGGTTCCGGGTCTGAGTCGGGTTGGGAGGTGGGCAGGTCCTGGCCAGTCTGGTCCGGAGAGTCGGGGACGCGGAGCGGGTCGAGTCCCGGCGTGGCGGCCTGGCTGCGCGGGGCGGGGCGCAGCTCCGCGGCCCGGGCTCTGGGTGGGTCCTGGCGGCCGGACCGGCGCGGTCCTTCCGGCTGCAGGGGGCGCTGCGCCGGCCGCGGCCGCAGCTCTTGGGAAAGGCCCGGGGCACGTGGCCGGGACGCAGCTCGCGGCCGCCAGCGGATTCCGCGGCCCGTCCGCCGAGCCCGCTCCGTTCCGCTCCGTTCCGCTCCGTCCGCCGCGCCCGCTCCCTTCCGCCCGCTCCGCTCCACCCGCTCCGCCCGCGCCGGCCCCGCGCGCAGCCATGGCCGACGCGGCGCCCGCCCCGGTAAGCGCCTGGCCTGGGAGAGCCCGCCCGGCCTGCGGCTTCTTCGTTCCGCCCGGTCCGCCCGGGCGTCCGTCTGCCGGGCCCCAGGCTCGGGCTGTGCGGCCCACACGCGGGCGCCCGACGGCGACCGTGGTGGCGGTGCGCGGCCTGCACCGGCCACCTCACGCGGGGGACAAGCGCGCAGGGGCGCCACCGACGTGATGGCCGGCCGAGACCCAAGCGCAGGACGACTACAGTCTGCACTTAGGCTTGTGGGCGGCCCTCCTAGCGGGCCCGCAGCGCTCACAGCGGCGTCCCGGTGATGGTTGCATCTCGCGAAGTTCTCGAAAGCTCGGGTTTGCCGGGCGCTCCCAGGGGAAGGCCGCACCTTCAGCCGCTGAGTTCGGTGCGGGCGCCCCAAGGAGGGAAGCCCAGGGCCCACTTGCAGCCCCTCCGCTCGTCCCGCCCGGGCGTGCACGCTCACTCCTTGGCTCAGGGTCCTAGGAAACTCCCCCTACAGGACAGACTGGCCCTCCACTCTGTGAGCCGTCTGTGGCCTGTGCGTTATGTCCATGCGGGAATCGTCTCCTGGGAGGGAGGTACCACCTCCATAGCTCCCTGTATCCTCATGGGGCTTTGCTGTAGGTGTTTGGGAAAGGCGGTTGTTCAGCTGGTGAGTCGTTCATTGCGGGGACGAGTCCTTTCTGAGCCCAGGGATGCAGAGGCCCTCCTCTGGAGACTGGGAACACACGAGGGACTCGCTCAGACCCTGTGGGGCAAGACCACAGAACCAGCAAACAGAGGCATCGCAGAGCATGAGCGCTGGGAAGGACCGGAGCGTGCGTCGGGAAGGTGTGGTGTGAGTGTGTTGAAGCTGAGAAGGAGCCAGGCTGCAGGATTGATGGAAAGAGAGCAACAGAGGGGAGAGCAGGGTGCGCCCTCCGGATGCCGGGAGGCCGGTGGCCGGAGTGTGGTAAGCAGCGGGAGGTCTGAGGGGCTGAGGGTGATGAGAGTTTGGATCAACTCTGTTCCCAGGCACTGGGGACAGAGAATGAAGGAGGGGGTGGAAAAAGAGCCCCTGAACTGTTCCCTGAGCCAGAGCCATCTGGCCGCGGGCACCACCACCGTCCTCACTGTCGCCGTCAGCCATGGACCCGAGTTACCAGATCTGTGTTGTGCTGGGTTCTCACTGCTTCCGGAGGATCGTGTCGCCTAGTTCTCAGCACCGTGCTGGGTTCGCTGCTGTCGAGTTGGCCCCCAGCTCAGAAGGCCCAGGAAAAACAGGATGCGTCTGGCCCTGCGACATCCCCGTGAGTGGATGTGGATCAGACCGTTGGGATCCACAGGGTTTTCAGTGGCTGCTTTTCAGAAACAGATGGCCAGGCCTTTCTTCCTAGCCTTAGACTGGGAGCTCTGCCGAAACCTGCTCAGTTTCACAGCCACACACGAGCCTTCTCTGATGGACGGGTGTGGCTGCACCGGGGAGATGCACTGGCCGGGAATCAAACCTGGGTCTTCCTCGTTGTCAGGTGTCCTGACTCATAGCAACCCTGTGTACGACAGAACGAAACAGTGCCCGGTCCTGCACCGTCCTCACAATCACTGCCATGCTTGAGCCCACTGTCACACCCACCATGTCATTCCAGCTAGTTAAGGGTCTTCCCCCTTTTTGCTGACCTTCTACATAGAATGATACCCTTCTCCAGGGACTGGTCCCTTCTGACATGGTCAAAATACGTTGAGATGAATTCTGGTTGTTCTCACTTCTAAGGAACATTCTGGTTGTACTTCCTCCAGGATGGACTTGTTCATTCTTCTAGCAGCCCCTGGTACATTCAGTATTTTTTGCCAACACCACAATTCACATGCATCAGTTTTCCTGTGGTTGTCCTTGTTCACTGTCCAGCTTTCACATGCATATGAGGCTATTGAAAATACCATGGCACAGCTCAGTCCTCAAAGTGGTGTCTTTGCTCTTCAGTACTTTGAGGAGGTGTGTTAAAGATGTCTTCCACGGGGAAGGCGACAGTTCTGCCACAGGCCCGCCAGCGTCCCTCTCCCTGATGTGGGGGCCGCATTATGAATCTGTTTTCTAGGTGTGGGAGTGAAGGCAAAAGATGAAGAAATACAAAACACTTTGGCCTCATCAGCTGGTGAGGGCAGAGATGCACGTTGCACCCGCGCTGTGCTCCACGGCCTCCCTGGCCAGCCTTGTGTCCTCGTGCTCAGGATAAAGATGGGAGGCCCTTGTCCCACATGACACATGCCTTTGTCTCAGATCATGTGTTTTCTCCTCTCTCACCTTGGTCCAGCTGGTATCTCCTGTCACTGGGGCTGGATTCCTTGCTGGCACTTGTCATCCACCCGGCTGTCCACCTGACTGTCCCTCAGGACCCCAGATGCCCTTCTGAGGTTCCATTGGAGGGGACATTGTATGGCTGCAGTCACATCTCTCTTTTCTGTTCTGGTGAACAGGCTGCAGAGGGGGACGAGCAGACCGGGGACCAGAGGCCCTTGACGCCTGCACCGCCCCAGCCAGCTGCTGAGAAGGGCTCCTACCTGTACTCCACTGAGATCACGCTCTGGACCGTGGTGGCTGCTGTCCAGGCTGTGGAGAAGAAGGTGGACTCCTGCCTGTCCCGCTTGCTGACTCTGGAGGGCCGCACGGGGACGGCCGAGAAGAAGCTGGCCGACTGCGAGAAGACGGCCGCGGAGCTCGGGAACCACATGGAGGGCAAGTGGGCCGTGCTGGGGACACTGCTGCAGGAGTACGGGCTGCTGCAGCGGCGCCTGGAGAACATGGAGAACCTGCTGCGCAACCGGAACTTCTGGATCCTGCGGCTGCCCCCGGGCGGCAAGGGCGAGGTGCCCAAGGTCAGCTCGTGGGCCTCCTGGGGCGGGGGAGCCAGCGCGGCCCAGCCTGTAGGCGTGCGTGTGAGCGCGTGTGGCACTGTGGTTCCAGGTGCCCGTGACCTTCAGTGATGTGGCCGTGTATTTCTCTGAGCTGGAGTGGGGACGGCTGGACGAGTGGCAGCGGGAGCTCTACAAGCACGTGATGCGGGGCAACTACGAGACGCTGGTCTCCCTGGGTGAGACTGGGCCGCGGGACCGGGGCCTCTGGCTGTAGCTTGACGTCTGCTGTTGTTGCTTTGCTCTGCCTGTTACTGGGGGCATCTCTGCATCTCTGTGGGCAGCGGGCTGGCAGATATCTGGTCCTGACCTAGCTTCTCCCGTTCTCTACACAGACTATGCCATCTCCAAGCCTGACCTCCTCACCCGGATAGAGAGGGGAGAGGAGCCTTGTCCTGAGGGCCAGCAGGGCCAGGAGGAGAAGGAGGTGGTGTGCCCAAGGAAGCCGGGATCTGGTGAGCGTGGCAGCACGTGGGGAGAGTTTGGGGGCACACAGCGCTGTGGCCCAGCATGCCTGAGCTTCCCGATGTTCCCTGAAGCCCCTCTGACAATCCTGGTAGGTCAGGAGGCATGCCCTGTCAGGGTGATATATGGCATAATTGCCATGTCTGCATGGGGTCAGGATGCTTACTTCTTGTGGTTGTTGGGGCTAGTGGCCAGTAAAAGTAGAAAACATGGAGGTAGAACAGCACTGTAAACTTCCTGAGGGTCATCACCAGGCTTACCAGTGGTCAGGGTCTTGCCACACTTACCACATCCATTTTTCCTTTTTTTGAAAACATCTGCAATGCCATTATCACAGCCAGCAAACACTCATCCATTGGGTCCCAGGCTCAAGTGTTTTCTGTAGGGACCCTGATTCTAGCCAGCCAACGTCCACATGCACAGTTGGCTTCTGGGTCTCTTGAGTCTCTTTATAAAAGCCTGCCCCATTGAAACAGCTCTATTGAGATATAATTAGCCTGCCACACAGTTCCCCCAATGCAGGATGCTGGTCACCACCTCATGGTATGTAACACACCTGCCACACAGTTCTCCTGTCTGAGGGTGTCGGTCACCATTTCTCGGTTTATTTGCAGATGTGTGCACCACTCACCACAGTAACTGTAGGTCACCTGTGCCCTTCTCTGGCCCCAGCCCCAGGCATCCACTTATCGTCTTGTCTCTGGATTGGCCTGCACCAGAGATCTTACGTGAATGTAATCTCACAGTATTTTTCTGTTCGTACCTGGCATCTTTCCTGTAGTTTCATCTTTGCAAGTCTCACCTGTATCATAACCAGGATCAGGGCTTCATCTCTTTTATGGCCGAGTAACACTCCATCGTATGGCTGGACCACGTTTTATCTGTTCACCTATTGATGGACCGACCCTCTATCAGTTATTCATTAACTTTTTTTTTTTTAAAGTTACTGTTCTTTGGGTGCAAATTTACAGAGCAGAATTTGTTTTACATTCAACAGTTCATGTACGTTTGGTTTCACTCCCCGATTACCATCCCCAACCACAATGCACTTTCGTTCTCTCCCTCCCAGTGACGCCCCCCATCCCTGTGCCCTTCTTGGTTATGCACTCCTGTGTATCCTGCTTTCCCTCCGTGTGAATGCTGCCCCTCTGGTGCCCCTGGCCAATTGCTCCAAGGGGTGTGTCTCTGCAGAGTAGGTGGGTGCATTGCCCTGAGTTGAGTGTTCAGCATGTAAGTCTTTGTACTGTTGGGCTAGAAGCCAGTCCTTGGGAGTGAGTCCTGTCCCAGGCTTGAAGCGTATCCCAGGGCCATAGTCCATCTGACCAGTAATTCTGGTCGTTATTGGGTTTTGCATTTTGTTCCACATTTTTCCTCCCACTCTATCCAGGATCTCCAGTTTTGATCCCTTCCTGAGTGGCTGGCTTTGGTACTTGGGCACTATCTGGTTCTTTTGGTCTCAAGGTCCATCATTTCCTTGGGCTAATTGCTTCCAAATGCCCTAGATTTTCTTCACTCTTCTTCACTTCTGACGAGAGGAGACCATTAGCAGCATCTCAGATGGCCCCAGTCGATACTCACCACAGTAGGTTGTAGAACAAGATTTTTATATACTTTGTTGTGCCAATTGAGCCTGGTGTCCCCCAGTACTATGGTCCTGAGTTGGCAGGCCCGGTGGTTCTCTCTCCCAAGGTGTTTGGCTGTCTCTGAGGGATTACTTCAACTTCTGTTGCTTCTGTAATGATTGTGGTTATTTTGTATCACTAGTATCTGTATAGGAGCTCTGGTAACATAGTGCCTAAGGCATTTGACTGCTAACCAGAAGGCTGGTGGTTCAAACCACCAGCCACTCCTTGGAAGGAAGATTGGACAATCTACTTCTGTAGTGATACCACCTTGGAAACCCAAGGAGGGGTCGCTATGAGCTGGGTCCGACTCGACGGCAGTGCATAGTATCTGTACAAGATTCTCCTTAGCTGAGTCTATCATTGGTTTAGGGTGCATTCTTTTCACTGACCCCCATCTGATCTTCTCAGTTGTCTATGCATTTATCTATAGCCTGGTGTTTGGTGTTAGTGCTAATGCAGTATTGTGCATATACTGGTATTAGCCTCTGTCTGTATGTGCACATTTCAGTGTCCTTCCTTGACTTTTCACGGTCACTTTTTAAAAATATGTGCCCTTCTGTATGTAATTGACTTATTTAAATCAGCATAAATGTCCTCCAGATTCATCCATGTTGTGAGATGATTCACATATTCTTCAATGTAGCATAGCAGCATAGTACTCCATTGTGTGAATGTACCACAATTTGGTTATCCATTTATCTATTGATGGGCATTTAGGTTGTTTCCATCCCTTTGCTATAGTGAATTGTGCTGCAATGAACATAGGTGTGCATATGTCTGTTCTTGTCCTGTCTTTCACCTCTTTAGGATATATTCCTAGTAATGAAATTGCTGGTTCAAAGGGTATTTTATTTTCAGTTTTTTAAGGAAACACCATACCATTTTCCATAATGGTTGTACCATTTTACAGTCCCACCAGCAGTATATGAGAGTTCCAATCTCTCCACAGCCTCATTAGCCTTCGTTATTTTCCGTCCTGTTGACCTTTGCTATTATTGCTGGGGTGAGATGATATCTCATCGCTATTTTGATTTGCATCTCTATAATGGCTAATGATCGTGAGCAATTCCTCATGTGTTGTTGGATGCCAGCATGTCATCTTTAGTGAAGTGTCTGTTCATGTCCCTTGCCCAGTTTTGAATTGGGTTCTTTGTCTTTTTGGTGTTGAGGTGTTGAAGTTTTTTATAGATATTAGAGATAAGTCCTTTGTCAGATGTGTCATAGGCAAATACTTTCTCCCAATCTATAGGTTCTCCTTTTACCCTTTTGGAGAAGTCTTTTAAGGTGCATAAGAATTTAATTTTTAAAAGGTCTCAGTCATGTAGCTTCTCTTCCACTATCTGTGCATTCTGGGTTATGCTTGATAGTCTATTTATGCTGTAAATTAGGGTCCCTAGACAGAGTGGCAGGGAGCTCAAGTAAGGGGAGTGACACATTCTCCACTCCACAAGAGGCAAGAAGCGGGGGAAAGAAAAGCTGTGGTCCACCACACCGAGGGGCAGGGAGCTCAGGTAAGTGGAGGGATACATGCCCCACCCCCAACAGGCAGGAAGCGGAGAGGTTTCGAACAGCTAAGGGAGACAAATTTGTCAGTTTGTTGTACTGTGGTGGCTTGCATGTTGCTGTGAGGCTTGAGGCTGTGCCACCAGTGTTTCAAGTGCCAGCAGGGTTGCACATGGTGCACAGATTTCAATGCAGCTTATAGACTGAGACAGATTAGGAAGAAGGAAGAGGCCATCCACTTCTCAAAGAATTGGCCAGGGAAATCCTTATGAACAGCAGAGAAACACTGTCCGATACATTACTGCGCAACTTTATGAATAGCCTGGAAACGTTGTCCAATGCAGTGCAGGAGGACGTGCCCCTTAGGTCAGAAGGCTCTCAAAATATGACTGGAAAAGAGCTGCATCATCAGAGTAGAACCAGCCTTACTGACATGGGTAAAGTAAAGCTTTCAAGACCTTCATTTGCTGAAGTGGCAAGACTCAAATTGAGGAGAAACAGCTGCAAACATCCATTAATAATCAGAACATGGAATGTATGAAGTATGAAACTAGGAAAATGGGAAATTTTCAAAAATGAAATGGAACGCATAAAGATTGACATCCTAGGCATTAGTGAGCCGAAATGGACCAGTTTTGGCCATTTTGAATCAGACGACCATTTGATCTACTATTCCGGGAATGACAATTTGAAGAGGAATGGTGTGGCATTCATCATCACAAAGGATGTTTCAAGATCTGTCCTGAAGTACAATGCTGTCAATGATAGGATAATACTCATATGCCTACAAGGAAGACCAGTCAATACTATGATCATTCAAATATACGTACCAACCACCAAAGCCAAAGATGAAGAAATTGAAGATTTTTTTATCAATTTCTGTAGTCTAAAATTGACTGAACATGTAATCAAGATATGCTAATTATCACTGGTGACTGAGATGCAAAAGTTGGAAACAAAGAAGAATCAACAGTAGTTGGAAAATTTGGCCTTGGTGAAAGAAATAACATTGGAGATCTCATGATAGAATTTTGCAAGACCAATGACTTTTCATTGCAAATACTTTTTTTCAACAACACAAATGGCAGCTATACATGTGAACTTCACCAGATGGAGTACACAGGAATCTGATTGACTACATCTGTGGCAAGAGGCAGTGGAAAAGCTCAATATCTTCAGCCGAAACAAGGCCAGGAGCTGACTGTTGAACAGACCATCAACTCCTCTTATGCAAGTTCAACTTGAAGTTAAAAAGAATTAAAACAAGTCCATGAGAGCCAAAGTATGATCTTGAATATATCCTTCCTGAATTTAGAGAATAGATTTGATGCATTGAACACAAATGACTGAAAACCAGAAGAATTGTGGGATGACATCAAGAACATCATCCATGAAGAAAGCAAGAGGTCACTAAAAAGATGAGAAAAGAAGACCAAAATGGATGACAGAAGAGACTCTGAAACATGCCCTTGAGTGGAGAGTAGCTAAAGCAAATAGAAGAAATGACAAGATAAAAGAGCTGAATAGATTTCAAAGAGCAGCTATAGCAGACAAAGCCAATTATTATAATGAAATGTGCAAAGACCTGCAGTTAGAAAACCAAAAGGGAAGAACACACTTGGCATTTCTCGAGCTGAAAGAACTGAGGAAAAATTTAAGCTTTGAGTTGCAATATTGAAAGATTCTGTTGGGAAAATATTGAACGATGCAGGAAGCATCAAAAGAAGATGGAAGGAATACAGAGTCACTGTACCAAAAAGACCTGGTTGATCTTCATCCATTTCAGGAGTTAGCATATGATCAAGAGCCAGTGGTACTGAAGGAAGAAGTTGAAGTTGCACTGAAGGAATTGGCGAAGAACAAAGCTCCAGGAGTTGACAGACTACCCATTGAGATGTTTCAATGAATGGATGCCCCACTGGAGGCACTCACTTGGTTATGTCAAGAGATTTGGAAGACAGCTACCTGGCCAACTGACTGGAAGAGATCCATATTTGTACCTGTTCCAAAGAAAGGTGATTTCACAGAATGTGGAAATTACCGAACAACATCATTAATATCGCATGCAAGTAAGATCTTATGGAAGATAATTCAAAACTGGTTGCAGCAGTATGTTGACAGAGAGCTTCCAGAGGTGCAAGCTCAATTCAGAAGAGGACGCGGAATGAGGGATATTAGAGCTGCTGTCAGATGGATCTTGGCTCAAGGCAAAAAATACCAGAAAGATGTTTACTTGTGTTTTATTGACTATGCAAAGGCATCTGATTGTGTGGATAATAACAAATTGTGGATAACATTGAGAAGAATGGGAATTCCAGAACACTTAATTGTACTCATGAGAAACCTGTACATTGACCAGGAAGCTGTCATTCAGACAGAACAAGGGGACATTGCATGGCTTAAAATCAAGAAGGGAGTGTATCAATGTTGTATCCTTTCCCCATACTTATTCAATTTATATGCTGAGCAAATAATTTGAGAAACTGGACTATATGAAGAAGAACATGGCATCAAGATTGGATGAAGAATCATTAACAACCTGTGATACACTGATGACACAACCTTGCTGCTGAAAGTGAGGATGACTTGAGGCACTTACTGATGAAGATTGAAGACTACAGTCTGTAGTATAGATTACATCTCAATATAAAGAAAAAAAATATAAGTGTACTTATAAGCAGCATCATGATAACCGGAGAAAAGATTAAAGTTGTCAAAGACTTCACATTGCTTGGTTCTACAATCGACGCCAATGGAAGCAGCAGTCAGGGCATCAGACGACGTATAGCACTGGGCAAGTTGGCTACAAAGGACCTCTTTCAAGTGCTGAGGAGCAAAGATGTCTCCTTGAGACACAAGCCATGATATTTTCAATCGCCTCATATGCACATGAGAACTGGACCATGAATAAGGAAGACCGAAGAATTGATGCTTTTGAGTTGTGGTGCTGGCGAAGAATGCTGAAAGTACCATGGACTACTGAAAGAACTAACAGATCTGTCCTGGAGGAAGTACAGCCGAAATGCTCCTTGGAAGTGAGAATGGCCAGACTTCATCTCACCTACTTTGGTTATGTTGTCAGAAGGGACCACTCTCTGGAGAAGGATGTCATGCTTGGTAAGGTGGAAGGGCGACGGAAGAGGGGAAGGCCCTCAACGAGATGGATTGACACAGTGGCTGCGACTATGGGCTCAAAGATAGCAAGGATCATGGAGCTGGCACGGGACCAGGCAGTGTTTCGTTCTGCTGTGCGTAGGGTCGCTGTGAGTTGGATACAACTCAGCAGCACCTAACAACAACAACTCCATGGTCCCTCCACATGGCTTGCATCATTTCTCCTCCCATCAACACTGTAAGAGTCTTCCCCCAGGCTTGCCAACGGAGACCGCTGTAGGAGTTCAGTTAGCTGAGGGAGGGACGTGTGGTTTCCATTGTAACAGCAACAACCCTCCTGTTCTGAGTGTGGCTGATGTCTTTATATGTTTGAGGGCCATTTTCACTTCTTGACCTAGAGGGCTTGTAAAAACACATACTGTGGAACTGCTGATCAGAATCTTGGGGGTATGCCCCGGCTAGCCCGGTAGAGGAACTGGTTTGGGAGGTCCTGCTGTGTTGCGACCTGCCCAGTGTCTCTTGGACAGGAGGATTCTGGCCAGAGGCCCGTCACTAGCTAGACATCCACAGCACCCTGGGTGGGCCTGGTGTGATGCCCCAGGGCCCCTAGGACTCTGCCTCTAGTTGTCCCCAGAGGGTGTTCTGGTGGGGACTCCAAGGGGCATCTCCTGACCACCTGCAGCCCTCCATATGGTCCTCTGCCTCTGGTCTCTGTCCTAAGGCCTCCCTCCAGACCCAGAGCACACACTCAGCCCAGCCAGCCCAGCCCAGGAGGAGCCAGGAGCAAGGCAGACTTGTGGGCACCAGCGGGCCTCAGAAACAAGAGTGACACCTCCTGGGCCATGCATCGGTGAGTGAGGACAGCCAACACGGCAGCAAACGGTGTCAGGATGTCCCTGGTAGGAGGCACATGGCACTAAGTAAGAGTTCTAGAGGTGGGCGTGAGAGCCGGCTGGGCTGGCAGGGCTCGCTGGGGTAGCTGGGGCAGGCCTTCAGGGCAGGCAAGGCTGCAGCAGGGTGCTTCTGCGTGAGTATTTGTCTACGCAAAGCCATGAGCTTCTCAGGCTGGGAACCTCAGTCTGGCCGTAGGGGTGTGCCTCAGGTTGTATGGTGGTCACAGTAAATGGAGTGACATGGTCCCAGACTTGTGGTTCCTTAGGAAGTATCCCTCGCCTGCAGACCTACCAGGGACTCTGGCTCTCGCCCTCCTTCCGGCATTTTCTGTCTGCCTTAATTAGAAGGCTGATTCTGTCCGTGCTTGGACAGGAACAGGATGTAGCCCAGAGGCCACTGCACATACACTGGGCACCTAACACTAAGAGCCTGTTTTCTGTTTCAAGCCTGGGTGCCTTGCTGCCCCAGCCTCTGCTGCCGCCTCTCCCTGCTGGCCAGATGTCCTGTGCCTGGCTTTATGAGCTCCCTGAGGTGGAGGGAACAGTACCCCATTTGTAGGGACCTCCTACCCCAGCCAGGGTGCTGTGGGCCCCTGGAGCAGGAGCGTTGGGCCCTTCTCAGAGGAAGGCAGCATCCTTGTCCCATCTCCAGACCATGTCACTGTGCCCAGTTGGGCCTCCCAGCCCAACAAATCCTCTAGGGTTTGTGAGGGCAACAGTCAGGAACTGAGGGGCCCATGGTCACACTGCCCATACAGCTCCCTTCTCCCCACTGAGTGGGTACTACAGCCCCCAGACAGGCCCTGGGAGCCCCTTTCCTTGGCAGGTGGCTGCATGTGTTCAGGGCCTGCTGCAGAGGGACAGGCCCATCTGGCAGTACCAAGGAATGGCCTGATGGTCTCTCTCCCACAGGGCCACTGGCCAGCAGCCATATTTTGTCCTCGATTAAACAAGAGGAAGAGTCCTCTGGTGAGGAGTCACGCACCTCCTCGCCCAGGGAGAACTTGTCTGACATGGGACCAGGTGAGTAGAGGGGTGGCCTCATAGTGTACACACAGGCTCCACACGGCCTCTAGGGAGTGTAGCAGGTCCCACAACTGGCCTAGGGGTGGCCAAAGGGGACCCAGCAGTGGACTTCCTCCCGGGCAGGCCTGCCCTCCCTAGCACTGGTCAGCGCACAGTAGGCCCACAGGTGTGCGAGCCGGCTGGGAAGCTGCTGCTGAGACCAGCTGCACTCCCCTAGGACTGTGACAGGCAGTGCCCTTCTCTGGGGTTGGCCTTGTCTCACGCTCTGCTGAGCACAGCAGGCCTGGGTCTATGCTGCCTTTGTTAAAGCAGTCTTACCCCTGAGGAGCAGGGAACCAGGTGCTGCTCTGGCCCGAGGTCTGGTTGTTTCCTGCCTCCCTGGGCTTGGTGGGTGGTTGAGGTGAACCTGGGACTCAAAAAATAGACCCCAAACTCAAGAATGCCACTGTGTGCCCCGAAAGCACTCAGGTGTTCCCCGAGCACAGAGGGACTGCTGTGCACTCTCACGGCTCTGTAACTGTAGGGTGAGCTAGAAACGGTCGGGCCATTTCTCACAGAAGTGAGGGCTGCTGGGTCAGCAGAAGACAGCAGAAAACCAGGGCGCCAGGCAGTGGGGGCCTGCCCTCCGAGGGGCATTGGCAGTTAAGTGGCTCCCTCCCCACAGCAGCCTGGGTCCCTGATTTCAATTCCTGCTTCAGCATGTGGTAACATGGTCTTGGAAGCTGCTCATGGAGGCTTGGAGACTTCCATCAGAAATGTGCAGGTGGCAGGGCAGGCATCAGCGCAGAGCAGACTGCAAGGTGGCAGCTGAGGTGGGGGCACCTGGAAAGCAGAGGGGAGGGCACTGGGGTGTCAGTGAGCAGAGGGGAAGGTGTTGGAGCCACGTGCTCTGGGGTCGCCCAGAGAACAGCAGTTTGGGGACTTGGGAGAATGTTCAGCATTCCAAATAGGGTTGGGGCTGCGACTCTCCTTCCTAGCTTGGGACCTTGGTGACTGTGTGCTGAGCCTCAGGTAAGCACCCACACCACCTTCACCTAGGCCAGGCCCACCGCACCACAAGGAAGGAGTACTGGACGCGTATGTGGGGGGGTGGGTCTCTAGACCACCAGCTTTTTCCATAGCCCGGCTGGCCGCCAGCCCACGACTGCTGGTGGGCCACAGCTAGCCATCAGAGCTGGCCGGGGGCCCTTCGCCAGCATCTCTGGCCCGCCCCCCTCCCCCGCCTCCTTAGCTGGGTCTGCCCCCCTCTGCAGTTTGTAGCTTGGCCCCTGGAACAGGCCATCTGAGTAGTGACCTCTTCGCCCTGTGCTAACAAGCAGGATAACCTCACTGAAGGCCTGGTGCCAAATGGGCAGGCCCCACCCTGGGTGCCAGGAGGGGACCCCGGGAAGGTGGGGCAGAAGCCTGGTGCAGGCAGTTAGAAGGCCCGGGTAGGGTCCGGGGATACTTGTGGGGTCAATGGCCATCTTTCACCAGGTGGTGGCCGCGTGATCAAGACTGAAGCCCAACCCCACGGTGAGCTCACGCCAGACCGGCTCTTGCGCGAGTCACCTGGCCAGGCCGAGTGTGGAGTCGCCAAAGGGCCCAGGGACGGAGCCGGGGGCCCAAGCCAGCATCGCAGCGGCAGTGTGCCAAGGGTGAGGCTGGGGGCCGCGCACGCTCCTGGGGCCTCTGGGGAGCCACGGCGCGTCCTCTCTCGCCGCCGCCAGCGAGCCTTCCCCTGCCCAGACTGCGGACAGAGCTTCCGCCTGAAGATCAACCTGACCATCCACCAGCGGACCCACGCGGAGGACGACCCCGGCTTGGCGCGCTGCACTCCGGCCCCCGCCTGGGGGGACGCCCACCCCGCGCTGGAGCCCGGCGAGGTGGTGGGCGCCGGCCCGGTCATCCGCTGGCTGCCCAGCGAGCCCGCGGCGACCAAGGTGTACCACTGCAGCGAGTGTCTGCGCTTCTTCCCAGAGCGCAAGAGCCTGTTGCAGCACCAGCGGCTGCACACGGGCGACGGCCATGGCTGGCCCTCCTGCCCCTACTGCGGCAAGGCCTTCCGCCGGCCTTCCGACCTCTTCCGCCACCAGCGCATCCACACCGGTGAGCGGCCCTACCGCTGCCCGCAGTGCGGCCGCGCGTTCAACCGCAACCACCACCTGGCCGTGCACATGCAGACGCACGCGCGGGGCCAGGTGGGCCCGCTTTGCGCCGCGCCCTCGGGGACCCCGGCCCGGCCGCGGCCTCGGGCCTGTGGCCCGGAGGAGGACCGGCCCCCGCCTCCCGGGCCCTTCGCCTCCCCCTGACCCTCCGCAGAGGGAGCTTTAGGCCTCAGTTTCCCAAGTTGGTTCCGTCTTGCAGCCCTCCCACTGGGAGGCATTTCCGGTGGGCTTTAGGCCGGCACCGGAGGGCCACACTGAGGTCCCTCGCGTGGGCCAGGGGCGCGGCCTGGGTTTTGGTTTTGTGCAGAGGTCTTGTGCCTGCGTCACCGCGAGCAGCTGCAGAGTGGACGGCCGATGGGCGGTCTGGAGAGGAGGCACTGCGGTTCGCTCTTTCTGTTTGGAAACTTTCTTTTTTCCGTCTTAATAGAGCTATTGGTGTGCTTTTGTAAATACTGTGTGGTGCAGAGCTCCGAGGGGCAGGCCTTGGGAGATGAGTGCAGCCGGGTGGGTGCTGCTGGGACCTGAGACCTCCCCTGTTAACAAGGCGGTGCTCCGGGATCCTGTCCTTCCCCCAGGGTGTTCCCATCCACTGTTTGCTTACCAGTTGGGAGGGGGCCTGAAGCCCAGAATGAATGACCCCCTGGGAATCGCAGTGTTAGCGGGTGAACACTGGCAACCCCTTGACTCCAGGAACGGGCTGGGTGAGGCTGGTCGGCTGGCCAGGCTCTGGGAACCCAGGCCTTGTCACGTGGTGGTGGGGTGCCTCCAGCTCAGGGCAGCTAGGGCAGAAATAGGGTGGTGGGAACCGGCTACAGCCCACCCGCCCCAGGAACACGGGCCCCAGGGACACGGGCGCAGGCTGAGGAGCAGGGAGGCCCCAGAACGCGGGGGGCGCTGAGACAGGCCGCAGCCAGCGCCCTTTTATGGAACTCGTTCTCAGCAGCTGGACCCGGCCACTGTCGACCCACGCGGGCTGCCTGGGTGCTCCAGGGCTGGAGACCGGACACCTGGCCGTTGGCTCTGGGCTGTGACCAATCAGCCAGCGCCTGGGTTTGGGGATAAGGCGCCGTCAGGTCTGCGCCCACCGCGGGCTTCCTGGGGCGCCGCCGCAGGCCAGGCCTCAGTTCCGGGCCGCGTGCCTCATGTGCGCGCTGCACGCTGTCCGCAGCCGCTTCGCGCCCCTGACTGACGGCG